AGATGTGAACGTGGTCCTTGGACGGACTACGAAGTGCTACCAGGTGTAACGGGGCACCCTGAAGCTTGTACTGGTGACAGTACAAGTGACAGTACAAGCTACTTATTCTGATGACAGAATAAGGCGGTGCCTCGGAACTTCACGTACACTCGTACGTTTAGAGGAAGACGGTAAGAAGAAGCGAGTACTTGGTTAAAGTAAAAAGTAGAACTGTATTCAGTATAGTTAATGTCTGTTAATTTAATCACTATTTATCCTCATCTAACTATGTCTGAATACAAATGTGCGTATCAACTATCTGCTCACCACTCATTGCGTGCGTCTGTCGTGGCGCGTCTTCGTTGGTTGATATAATGGCCTATATCAACCAATTAGGAACTACTCGTAAGTGCTGCAGAATATTTGTCCTTTGACAATATTCTGAGAATTTAACTCTGATAGTTATATTCTATTAACAATTTCTTACAAATTGTTATGTAACGATTCACCCCGTTACAGATGGCATCTTGCCGTTCGCTTGTGAATCAGAGGGCGAGAGTTCTCGCTCTCGATGTAACAGAGGTCACAGGTTTGGGACCTCCTGTTTCATGTCGTCTCATCGGACGATAGTTGGATGGGTTTGCCTGAGAGTGTTTCAGGCTGAAGTCCTCCTGTTACGCGTACGCTGTCACCTTTTCCAGCGTATGGAAGTCCTCTAGGGACATGTAGGTCGTTACCGGTCCATGTACAAGACCGTAGATGAATACGTTGATAAGCGTGTTCTCATAAACAGGGTTTTCCGTGACGCTACGTACAAGGAACCGTAGGAGTTGTACATAATCGTGCACATCACGCTAACCCTTTTTGAGCCCCAGGAGAGCAGAGCGTGCTCTGAGCTCGGCTCTGGGCGGCTCAAACGTCTCTTTGAGCCGAGACTCCAAGATCCCCAACGATTGAATCACGGCTGGGTCGTGAAGATTGAACCCTAAGGCTTAATTCTTTGCTCGTCTGGTCAAATTTGACAGGGCGAAGGTGACTTGCATCTTGTCACCCTCGATGTGACGGGCCCTAATGGCATCGCCTAACTAGACGAACCATCTCAAAAGGGATTCTTCATCGGTTCCCTTGTACCTTGAGATATCAATCTTCAAGGTTTCGGGTCGATGCATGTGCGTTGGCGCGCCCATCGACTGATGAGAGCCTTGCTGCTGTAGCAAGGCTATCATATGTCGTTCGACGGCAAGTTCCCCTTGTAGAAACTTGTTGATAGCAGCGTGTTGATGGTCTCTGCTTAGAGACTCCAACATACCACTCATGGCGGGTTCTGCCATGAAAACACTCATGCGACGGACTACCTTCCATTCTGAGTCACTCAGATGGGAGTAGCTTGTGACGTAAAAGCTATCGTCTTCTACGTCCAACATGTTCATGCTGGACGGACACTAAGTAGTCGTTGGACGGACTACAAAGTGCTACCAGGTTTAACGGGGCACCCTTTTTTTGGCAGCTACGAATCTTCACGTTTGCTCGTACGTGCAAATAAAGCTAATATACTTGAATGACTCGTTTAAGTAAAGGTGGAAAGAGAACTGTATCCAGAATAGTTAAGCTATCAATATAACTTCAGTCTTTATCAACCTTATTTAATATATGTTGTCGTATGACGACAACCTGCCCACCACCCATTGCACGCATCTAGCAGCGACTGATGGCATTCTATGGTTGACATATCTTTTATCGACCAATCTTCGATCAGCTCGTGAACAAGATCATAAGGGGATATTATTCCTTCAATATTGCCTATCTCAGATAATTTTGGCAGGAGATTGTCACGCTAGACAATCCTTCTGTGACACCGTTTGGTGTCAGTCTCATGTAACGGGCTACCCTGTTACGATCTTGAAGATCGCAATAACCTTGGGTTTATCTGATTAATCTATTGTTTGGATCGTTCTGATCTTACTTGGTCCAGTATGGTGGCTCCTTGTTAGATTTTCTTTTTTTAATATTTAGAAACTTCGTTCTGTTTGTACTTTTCCTTTACGTTGTATCTGTATTAAATTAAAGTTGCAGAATGTCGAGAATTTTATATTTATTCAAAAGTTTTGTAGATATCACTTAAAGCTGTGGCCTCTTAGACCTTATGTTGAAATTTTGCTCGATGGAGAAGTCGAAACGTGATAATTCAAGTAGCTGTAACTCTTTTTGTTGAGCAGCCAAATAAGTACCCATAATGTTACCTTGCCTATTCACTGCAGGATAACCTTCAACGAATTACACTTTAAGATTCTACCTTGTTAATAAAGTGTCGAAATCTCTGCAATTTTTATGCTGATTATCACAAAACTGGGGGTCACCCGAAATGTTGCAATTTTCATATTATTACTATATCTAAGGGTGCAATTATATCCAGATTATTGAGATCTATCAAAATATTTGAATAAATTCAACACCGCGACAAATATGTCTCAATAAACTTTGTGGTATCAAATCGGACATCTCAATATATTTTCGGGACTGAACCTTTTATTGATGCCATACCCTCCTCCAAGTAATTCGATAACCGATGTTAGGATTTCACCAAGTTCACTCGTATTTCTAATCGACCGCAACACTGATCTCGAATGTATTTTTAAAACAATTTTGGGAGCTAGGATACGGATTACCAATTCCTTTCCACGATGTCGGCATAATCGTCTAGCACGTTGTTTTAAAATCTACCTACCCGTCCCATATTTGACGTTACGATTTAACTCGGTTCACTTCCAGATTGAATCGGGACAAATAGGATCCCCGATCTCACTATTCTTTTTTTAACCATTGAGATCCCCGTCTTATTTATCACAGTCACGAACCATCGATCTCAGGGTCAGCTAGGTGGATCTTGATCATACTGTAGTGGACCTGTTGGGACGATCTGAGTGTCGTCTGCATGATGTACGGTCCCCAATTGAGGACTTGCACTTCAAAGCCATCCATCAAAACGAAACCGGTTGTAGTTTCCTGTGCTTTTCTGCTAATAAATCAGCCCCTGATTTATCCCCCCATTACGTAGACAAGGCAGACACCGCCATTTTGTATCGTGCCTTAATCACATTGCTTGGATTTTGACCACCTTGTACATCCGTCAATTGGAATGGATTGAGCTTTCCATAGCGTCCTTGGGAGATGTCAATCACGCTCGGTATTTAGATGACTAAATGACCGCTGCGCGAGAATCTTCACACAGCGATATGGTATAGGTGTGATCTCAATTTCTAGATCGACCGTTCGGTTGCCGCAGATACTTCAACCCATTAACCTTGTCGTGCATCCAATCAAAATGATTTTTTGACTGAAAAAATCGTTCGCAATACCTAATCCTGGAGATAGGCCCTACGATCAGATTCGTCTATCTAAAACGATCGGCTCGCACGCGCTTGACGCTTCTGATCCTTGCTCGAGCCCTCAGGTTGGTCTTTCGATCTCTTCTTTCAGATAAATCAACCTCACCGAGGTCGGCTGTCCAACACTTACACCCGCCTTCAATCGCAGTTGTTTGTTTCCTACGTGTTCTTAAGAACCCTGGTCAAACAATCCAAGAGCTGACATTGTCTTAAAAGCTGAGCGCGCGTGCTTAGCAACGACATGTAACCCCTGTTTCGAAAAAAAATTGCTTCGGCTTCCCACTTCATTGATTCGGTGAGAAGCCAAATAAATCTCACCCAGAAGAGAGGGTCAGACGTCGTTGCTAAAACATATCAAATTAAACTCTGTGTCTTATTGAATCAAGGTTTTATAGTGCGTGTAAAAATCCGTTTAAATATTACGAATACTTCTCAACCTGCTGCCAAAAGTGAGCACATGATAAATCTTAACATCCAATACCGCGTCCTGGGAACACGTGTCAAATACCTGGATTACATTCTCCAGTATTGGCGTCAGTATCCATATGTTGTGAGTGTGACAAATATCGGGCAGTTGATACAAATATTGCGTTCAAATACTCAGTCCGGTTTTTTTTACAATAAACTTAAACCATTTTTCCAAATATAGGATCTAAACCCACTCTTAGGTCATGCAAAAATTTGGTCAAAATTCAACCTAGCCAAGTTTTTGCCGTCAGTTGGTCTTCAACGACTATATTTCTTGATATTGTCTTACAAAAATAACCTCTGAGATCATCATCTGGTACACTCATGGTCACTGAATAGGCGCATACCTAGTCTAGGTAGATAATACGACCATCCTCCAACACAAGTTATTGCAATAATAGGAGACTGTTAGGTTTGTTGATGTACGATCCCCATTCAGGCGTCACCACGATCCTCTTCTCTTAGTCCTATTGAACTTTCACTGTTCATGATGTGTCAATACACTGAACATTAAGATCCAACGATCTTTGTTTACCTTCATCCTCTCAATCGATCGGCCGCTGTATTCAATCATCTGCTTACACATTTTTCGATTCTTCATACCAATTCCACTTCGGTCCTTCCAAATTTTTAATAACGTAAGTGTTTGCGTCATTGAGGAAGTCATGTAACGGTATGAATCGTTATATAACAATTTATACGAAATAGTTAATAGAATATAACTATAAGAGTTGTATTCTCAGAATATTGTCATAAGGACAAATATTCTGTAGCACTTACGAGTAGTTCCTAATTGGTTGATATAGGCCATTACATCAACCAACGAAGACGCGCCACGACAGACGCACGCAATGAGTGGTGAGCAGATAGCTGATATGCACATTTGTATTCAGACATAGTTAGATGAGGATAAATAGTGATTATAGTAACAGACATTAACTATACTGAATACAGTTCTACTTTTTACTTTAACCAAGTACTCGCTTCTTCTTACCGTCTTCCTCTAAACGTACGAGTGTACGTGAAGTTCCGAGGCACCGCCTTATTCTGTCATCAGAATAAGTAGCTTGTACTGTCACTTGTACTGTCACCAGTACAAGCTTTAGGGTGCCCCGTCACACCTGGTAGCACTTCGTAGTCCGTCCAAGGACCACGTTCACATCTAACATGAATATGTTGGATGATGAAGATGACCAAAGCTTTCACGCTACGCGTGACGGCTACTCCCATTTGAGCGATGTCGAATGGGATGCGGTTGAACGGATGGGTTCAACCATGGGAATCCATGCTGTTAGCGTCATGCTAGAGGCTCTCAATAGAGATGCCCAACATGCTACTATCGCCAAGTTCATTCAAAATGAACTTGACGCTGAACGCGAGAAAGTAGCCTTGCTTCACCAACAAGGTTCTTAACAAATAGAGTTGTTGAGAGAACAGAGTGCTCAACAGTTTGAGCTGTTGAGACAGCAGCAGGCTGCTGCTGGTGGGTCGATGCACTCGCGTCGACCCGAAACCTTGAAGATTGACATCTCCAAGTATAGGGGAGTCGAAGAGGACTCCCTCTTGAGATGGTTCGTCGAATTGGATGAAGCCATAAGGGCGCGTCGCATCGACGACGGGGAAATGCAAGTTGCATTTGCCCAGTCAAATCTGGCAGGACGTGCCAAGACTTGGGCACTGGGGCTCAAGTTGCACGACCCATATGCGTTTGGGTCGTTGGAAGTCTTCACCGCGGCTCAGACAAACGTTTGAACCGCCTAGAGCTGAGTTCAGAGCTCGAACAGAACTCTTGAAGCTCAAGCAGGGTAAGCGTGATGTGCACGCTTACGCGCAACATATACGACATCTCACGAGTTGTACAAGTTCCAATCCGGTGGATGAACACACGTTGGTTTCGGTGTTCATGCAGGGTCTTGCGGATGGTCCCGTCAAGACTCACCTGTTCCGACTTGAACTAGATTCACTAGAACAAGCCATTTCCATTGCGGAACAGGAAGACTTCAGTCTGAGACAGGCTCGCGCCAGCTCGACATCGTATCGTCAACCAAGACGATATGATAGCGGAGGTCCAGAGCCGATGGAACTCTGTTATGTAGAGAGCGAGAAGGCTCGCTCTACAGACTACAAGAACTTGCAGAAATGCAACAGATGTCAAAAGACAGGACACTACGCTTACGAGTGTAGTGCCCCTCGTCCAGTGTCTCTCAACACTGGACATAGTGACCTTCCACCCATGAGAAAGGGGCAGGGACGCGGGTCCGCTTTTAATGCAAAGACGCAACAACGGGATGGACCGTCAAAAAACGGACAGGATCAGTAGGTGCGGAGCACCCTACTGGTCCAGCAACGTCAAGAGAATTTGTGGGCCTCTTGATGCAGGTTGCTCCCAACACACAGACGTTGTGCGTTGCTGCTCTAGGTAATGAGGTCTCACTCATTACCTTGAAACTCGAAGTGACGAATAAGTTTTCCCTTCGAGCTCTAGTCGATTGTGGGGCGTCCAACAATCTTGTGCAACGCCAATCGCTAGAAGATGGTCACTTTAAATTCAGTGAATGTGACACACCTCCTACGAGGATGACGGTACGTCTTGCGACAGGCGCATCCGTAACTGTCATGAAGCGTATAGTGAAGATCCACTATACGCTAGAAGATATCCAATATGACGATGACTTTATCGTATTGGATTTGGATGACAAATTTGATGTCTTCCTTGGAATACCGTGGCTCAGAAGGTACGAACCACGGGTAAACTGGCAACATCGAACAGTAACGATGCCTGCCGCATATTCATAAGATGGCCACCTGATGAACGTTTTGGAGCGTCCACAAGCGTGTGGATGTACTACGAGTGAGTGCGATGGCCTCACTTGTGGTACGGTCGTTAGTACGACTGCACAAAACCTTAGTGTACCAAACGGTTACACTTCGGAGCAAAGTTCCGGCGGCTGTGAGGAAACACAGGCTGCGCCGAAGGTCCACCACTCGAATAAGTCGAGTGGACCGGGACAAAGATGTATCCCTAGCGGGGAACATCTAGAAGAGAAACAATCGATCGTCAGGTTAAGCGAAACGATAATCCTAGATCGACTGGAGAGTCTTTCGTAGAGGAAGTCAAGGGAATAAGTCCCAAGATTACAAAATACGGCGGAAATAAGTTCCCCGAAACCCGCGGGAATAAGTCCCCGGGAAGACGAAGGAATAAGTCCTTCGAGGCCTGAGGGAATAAGTCCCCAGGAAACGACAGAGACATTGATTGTCATAGTCAATAACGGATCAAGTGTAGGCGCTTATACACTCGATCTGATTGCGCCTCCGAAGTTGACTTCGGAGATCACTCAGTTGCCAACTCTCGAACATAAAAGGTTCTTGCGTGATCTGCGTAGTGGCAAAGTCAAGCAGATCTGCGTACTCGTCGCTGACGACGAGTGTGTAGCCGACATAAGGTCAGCAACAGTGTTCACTGAGAACGAGAGAGTTCTCAGTAGTTCATCTATGGACGAGAGTGTCCTAGATGAAAAGACACGAGTTGAGCGATATGACTCCCAATCGTGGGAATCGCTCAAGACAAATCCTCTCTATGAAGATTTGGTTGAATTCAAGAATGTATTCCCTGAAACTGTTCCGTGCCAATTACCGAAGGATAAAGGTATTCGACACGAGGTCGAGCTTAAACCAGGCTCGAAGTACTGTGTCATGAAGCAGTGGCCACTGCCCCGTGAACAAGTACTTGCGATCGACAAGTTCTTTGCCGATCGTTTAGCTTCGGGCCATGTGAGGGAATCAACTTCCCCACATAGCTCTCCGACCTTCTGTGTTCGAAAAGCAACAGGAGGCTGGCGGATAGTGCATGCATTTAACAAGTTGAATGCTGCAACGGTACCGGCTCGGACGCCGATACCAAGGAAGGACGTAATCATTGATGGTATGTCAAAGAGTACCATCTTTTCGTCCATGGATTTGATGGATGGCTTCTATCAAATCCTAATGCGAGAAAGGGATTTATACCCTATACCGCAGTGAGCACGCCTAGTGGCAGGCTCTGGGAATGGCTAGTAATGCCACAAGGGCTTAGTAATGCCCCTGCCACGTTCAACAGATGTGTATCACATCTGTTGAGACCAGTACGAGAATTCGCGCCGAGTTATTTCGATGACGTATTCATTCATAGTCGAGCTATGGATGGATGGAAAGTCGGACGTTGAGGTTCACAGGTACCACGTCCGACAGGTCTTACAATCATGCGAAAGCATCAATTGTATGCAAATCTTAAGAAGTGTATATTTGCAGCAAGCGAAATACCACTTCTTGGGTGCATCGTTGGTAAGAACGGTGTGCGTCCTGATCCCGAAAGATCAAGGCGATCACCGACTGGCCTGTGCCAGTTGATGTCAAAGGTCTTCAAAAATTCCTTGGGCTAGCGGCGTATTTGCACAAGTATTCACGCAATTACGCCGAGATGACTATGCACCTCTCTCGTTTGTTGAAAAAGAACGAGAGGTGGTTATGGAACGCTGAATGTCAGCGCTCCTTTGATGGTATCAAGCAGAGCTTGATACAATCCCCAGTCCTAGCAATAGCCGATCAGGACAGGCCATTTCATGTGGTCTGTGATGCCAGCGATTTCGCAATCGGCTGTGCATTAATGCAGTACGATCTTGAAGGCGTTGAACGCGTCGTCTGCTATCAGTCGCGTCAGCTGCAACCAGCTGAGCGGAACTATCCAGTGCATGACAAGGAACTCCTTGCCATGAAGTATGCACTCGCGAAGTTCAGAGTCTATCTAATAGGAGATAGCCCCTTCATTGTTTACACTGACCATGCGTCATTACGCACGGCAGTGAACAGCCCGCACCTTTCACAACGAATGGCGCGGTGGTTTTCATTCTTTGCGGAATACAACTTTACGGTCGAGTACAAACCAGGACGACTTAATGTCGTCGCTGATGCACTCTCACGTCGTCCAGACTTTGAAACAGTCGCGAAACCCAACAGTGAGACAGTCACTGTTGCAGTTATGACGTCCGCAGTCTCATCTTCAACGTTGCATGATGATGTGAGGCGGGCATACGCCCAAGATGGTGAGATTGTGAAGTTGTTGACACATCTCTCCCAACCATCTCGAGAATCGTTGAAACGGTTGTCGTCTGCGTATCGATCTGCATCAGATCGATACACTACTCGTAACGGTTTACTGTATTATACAGCCGTTTCTGGTGACACACCACGTGTTGTCATTCCAGATGATACTGATCTGCGTTTGCGGATCATGTTCGAGTATCAAGATGCTCCTCTAGGAGGACATCGTGGCCGGGAGAAAACATTTCTCACGGTGAGTCGAGACTTTTACTGGCCCCGCCAGTATCAGTTTGTGCGAAAGTATGTTCGCGCATGCGAAGTCTGTCAACGAGTGAAGTCAAGTCCTTCACTGCGTGCACCTTTACAGTCTACCGGTTACGGCTGAGTGCTGGGAATCCATCTCAATGGATTTTGTCTTCGGGTTACCCAAAGACGCACGCGGGAGTACGGGTATTCTCGTATTTGTTGACAGATTCAGCAAAATGGTACACCTAGTGGCTGTACCAGAGACAATCACGGCAAGTGGCTGTGCTTGTGTCTTTATTGACACCATCTTTCGACTTCATGGGTTGCCCCGTGAACTCGTATCAGACAGAGATTCACGCTTCACTGCTGATTTCTGGCGTTCCGTGTTCAAATCACTCGGAACGCGCTTGAAGATGTCGACATCTGATCATCCAGAGTCAGATGGTCAGACGGAACGTGCCAATCGTGTCCTCGAAGAGATACTTCGAGGATACGTACACTCCTTTAAGAGTTGGAGTGATTTTTTGCCAATGGTAGAGTTTGCCATTAACAACTCGGTGCATGCGTCCACGACACATACACCGTTTTACGTGAATGGCTTGCGCCATCCGCGTGTACCCACCTTACTAGAGTGTAACTCTGGTTCAAGGGGGGGGACTCGCGCTAGCAAAAACCGAATTGGTTCACGCTCATCACGCTCTGACGAAGAGGTCATTGCGTTTGATGCCGATATCGATAACATCGATATTGAAGAAGATGATGCCAGTGAGAGTGCGGAAGCCCTCACTGAAGAAAAGATTGATGTTGCTGCAGTGCACTCACAGCGCACTGAAGCTAACGAGTCATCAGATGAGTTCATACTGGCTCGTGAAACGGTAGTCCGTTTTGTGCAAGACTCCATCGCCGAAGCGGTGGATAAGCAAAAGCAAAACGCTGGCAAGAATGGAAGGGCGAACACTCTTTTATTTAATAAAGGTGACTTAGTCCTACTGTCTACGGTTAATGTACCAAAGCATGTAGTGACTAACTTGGGTAGCAGTAAACTACTACCCAAGTACATCGGCCCATTTCGTGTATTGCACCGCCTAGGCAATGCATACACGATCGAGTTACCACGTAAGATGCGAACGCATCCCACGTTTTACGTTGGTCGGCTTAAGCCGTACCATCAGTACGCTGCTTCTTCCGATGAAGAACGCCCTTGCGCTCAAGCATCTCGCAGAGAGCCTTGTGCTCCCGATGGTGGGCATCAACAAGGGTCTGAAGAGCAGTTATCTCAGCCCGAGACCGATCAACAATCCCACGAGCTACACTTAGCTCGTCACGAAGAGATGTCAGAGATCTCTCGTTCTCAAGCTGAGCAAAGGCAAACTCAGCTCGATGCTTCAAGACAGTGTCCGCCATTTGGAGACGCCTGTCCTGCTCATGCTCGAGATCGCCGCGTAACCCTTGCGTTACGCGATCAAAGAAGCTCTCGGGAACACACGGATCCCCATGATCGTGTGGAGAGCGTCTTCCCTCCTCCTCCACCTCCATCAGAGGACTCTCGCGGTGGCCAGCGCTATCTAGTTGAGCAGCTGTTGAACCACCGCGACGTGAACGGACGTCGGACGAGTCATCTCGTCCGGTGGCGCGGCTATCCCCCGTCCTGGGATACTTGGGAGCCCCGCTCCCAGCTGATGGTTGACGTCCCTGGGTCTGTACGAGCAGTACGATGCGGCACATCCTGTGCCGCAGAAGGACCGCCGGAGAAAGTCTTCCCGGCACGGTCGTAAAGGGATTTCATGTTGTCAATCCCTTCGTACATCTCAGTAGAGACACGTACGCGCCACCACGGGCTGGTAAGGAGGTAAGCCTCCTTAGGTGCTCGTGCAGAGTTGTTCACACAACATGGGCACGAGTCTCCCCATGAGAGGCAGGGTAATCCTTTTCCCTTGACAGACGATGCAGCTTGTAGCGTGCACCTGTCGGGGTTCGCTTTTCAAACTTATCACATGCTTTGATAAGTTTGTCGTTCGAAGCGTCACGACCTACATCCTCAAGGTTATGGATGTAGGCGTTCCACGCCTGAAGCAGTGAGGGACCATCACGTTTGTGATTCCCACTGTACCATCGATGTCTAAACAAAGTATCGATGAAGAATTCATTCTCAGCCCGATAGTTTTTCGCGCTGGGGTCAAGGTGATGGATCCTTGATGTACGGGGTGAATCGTTACATAACAATTTGTAAGAAATTGTTAATAGAATATAACTATAAGAGTTGTATTCTCAGAATATTGTCATAAGGACAAATATTCTGTAGCACTTACGAGTAGTTCCTAATTGGTTGATATAGGCCATTATATCAACCAACGAAGACGCGCCACGACAGACGCACGCAATGAGTGGTGAGCAGATAGTTGATATGCACATTTGTATTCAGACATAGTTAGATGAGGATAAATAGTGATTAAATTAACAGACATTAACTATACTGAATACAGTTCTACTTTTTACTTTAACCAAGTACTCGCTTCTTCTTACCGTCTTCCTCTAAACGTACGAGTGTACGTGAAGTTCCGAGGCACCGCCTTATTCTGTCATCAGAATAAGTAGCTTGTACTGTCACTTGTACTGTCACCAGTACAAGCTTCAGGGTGCCCCGTTACAAGTCATCATTGGTCGCACTTACGCCAATCATTGTGTCGTACCTCTGTGCTGATTTATTTTTTAGATCAGAAATCTATTTAAATTCGACTGAAGTCCATCAACCACCAATGTTTACCCTTACCATGTAAAATCACCAACACAGTCGACGCTAGGCGCTTTGTCCACGTCGATGGATAGATGGACGACGGCGGGTCGAATGTGCTGATGTCGATTCCAAACTCGGCCATCATCACTAGGGCTCGCGAAAGTGGCCGTTCGCTGATCAAGTGATGACCATTCAATAATTAGGACTAATGGATAGCCGGCACAGTTTCGGATGGGCAAAACAAAAACAAGCCGGAAGTGTGAGTGGATCCAGGCAACAAAATGACTGGATGTGAAGTCTCCGCGCCGGACAGCGCCCAGGTAAGTATTGCCATATCGCAATTTGCCTCGCCCTCAGCAGCCCACTCCTCCCCCCTCGTCATCTCCTGCTTCTCTTCATCCCTCTTGCCAGCCATGAAACTGATCATCCTCGACATCGTTGCCATCACCGCCTTCCTCGCCTACGCCCAGAAACTGTCCCTCGTGTCCGCTGCATCTGCTGTCCCACTGCCCGCCTTGACTGCCTCTTCCACCCCCTTCGTCGCTCCCGTCGAGAGGAGGTTGAGACCTTCAGTCGTCCCCGGGAACGAGGCGGCTAACGGTCTTGCTGATCGAGTGAGTCAACTTTTCCTTGGCGGGGCGAGCAAAGCGGTGGGCGCGACCTTCAATGGTCTCGCTCGTTCGCACGAGAAGTTCAGAGATGTCACAGTCCTCCGACACTATAGAGTCTTTGACAGACAACTGGCTAAAAAAGGAGAAGACCACGTAATACTTATGACGAAGTTTAACTTGAAGGAGGAGAATTCGAAGTGGAATGCGGCCGGTAGAATGTATCTCAGACGCCTGATGGAGATGTGGAAAGACAAGTCTTTGAGCGAGATCGTCGAGATTCTAAAACTCCAAGATTACGGTTTACAACCCAAAGACAGCGGTAATGAACTCAACGTTCTGGTCGAGCTCGACAGGTTGGTCGAGAAGCGCAAGACCAAGGCACAGGACAAGATCGAGGCTTTGGAGAAGCAGCTGAACCATCCCAAGCCTGGTGACTCTCAAGCGGACCTACAGGCAAAGATTGATGCGGAGAAGAACATAGCGAACGAGTCGCTTATGTCGGAGCTGGAACCTTACTATCAGGGCAATGAACTGTTCCAATTTCTGTATGCATCGAAGAACCGTAACAAAGATCATCTTCTAACGCGTCTGTATGAACACTGGAAGGCCATAGGCCGGACCGCTGTCGAGGTAGAGCAAACGCTACGCGCCATTGACCCATCGGTGTCCGAGAAAGAAGTCGTACGCGCGATCAAGGCGGTGGGCTCCGTGAAAGGACGCTAGTATGTCGCTTGATCATCTGTAGTCGCTGGGCAAGGAGCTGCGGATTCAACAAGCGTCCGGATGGCGTACACGGTCGTGCTAGTAGGAAGGTGTGGTCTTGTGGCGCAAGGTGAGCTCGAACGTTCGTGCGCGACGATTGCTGGCAGTTGAAGGCTGAAGAAGAGTGCATCCGGGCGCGACGCTACTGCGAGGGAAGAAGGTGACGACGGTGGGTGTGTTGATTCTGCTTGACCTGCGACGTTAGCGTTGTGATTGATGGAGTGACTCATGGTGTGTGCTGTTGCTTTGACTGTTTTCCTCGTCACGAAAGTAACGGCTGGGTATATCCGACAACCCATTGCATGCTCTACAGGTCGAGGCATCACGCCGCGTTACGGCTGTAGCAGAGTGCGATAACACGTTAATACAATTCATGTTGTTCATGCATTTTAAACGTAATTGTCATCTCGGTCGATGTCATGCCAATTTCGCGTTACGCCACCATGTCCATTATATCTGTGCACTCCTTCTAGGAAGTAATATTACGTGGTGGCAGCAACATCACACAGCTTTTCACTTTGCTCTCACTTCGGTGCCTCTTGGTTCGTGAGAAAGGAGCTTGTTATGGTTGGCTTCTATGATCTTCTTGCAAATGTAGTAGCCGTCGTTGTTGTCGCTTACATTTGTCAAGTAGTTTTAAGCTGACCGATGAGATGCCCATCATGGACGTTCACACAACGGCCTACCTTATTGTGATATGAGCCGATAATCTCGACCTTGAGATCATGGCAATTTACGAAACGAGCCTACAGTGCGTATAGTCGAATTGGAGTCAACAGGTGCAACCACAATAGCAGAGAGAACTCCCTCGCGCAATGACATTGTCCCTCTATGCCATGTTACCAAGCAGCATTTAGCAGAAATACCGACTTGAAGTTATCGCTCAATGAACGACTACTCTGATGGACGTCCTTGGCCTGATGGCAGCCAGCTCAGCTGCCTACAGCACTCTTCTCGAACGTCAAATACCTCGCTTGATAGTTCTCACATGTATGGACAGCTACGTTTATACCGATCTGGCGCTAGTTACAACCGAGGTAGTTCCTTGCTCGAGGTTGATGAGCCAAGTCATGCAAGTCCAGTCTTTACAGAACCAAGTACACTGCCTCTCACTGTTATTGCTGTCCCTATTACATGGTGCACTGCAGCCGTAGACTTAGCACAATGGAGTCCGTGTAGAGGTAACAACAAGCATGGAAGAAGACGCGCTGGAGACATGTACAATTGGTAACTAGTGGCGATAGCAGTGAGTCATTCAAAAGAGTGATGTGAATAGTCAATCGGGTCAGGCACGGCGTCAGGACGAGTTTGAAAGTCTAGCGCTTGCACGATAGTCATCTGCTGAGGCATCAGGCTGCGAATCGAGCGATCTCTTTTGATTTCGTGCTTTAATCACGACTCAATCACCTCCGCGTTCCGTGTCTGTCTCCACACATTTCTCCCCAAGCCGAGCAGACAGGAGTTTGCACCGGAACTTCATGTGCACAACGCTGGTTGTTTTCGCGTGCTTCTGCGCCCGAGTTCGACATCTCTCTGTTTTTCTCTTCGGAGGCGTAAGTAGTAAGTAGTCCCCTGCTGAAATGCGTAGCATGTGCCTGTTTTACAGCCATGTGCACAATCACCACTGGCCGTCCTTTGTGTATAGAATATTCAATTAGACGACGTCCGCGCATGAGATCGACAAGGAGCTCACAAGGGGAGGCTCGTGGCATCCGGACATTTGCAATGAGCGACGAGTTGGCTTGGCACGCCGCCTCACCAAAAAGGCTAAATTGTGTTGTGTCGCGAAACGTTTGAGGAGCGTAGCTTATTTTTTCGAGCCATGAACTAAGCACGTTGCTCAAGTATAGCGGCTGGGATGCAAGTACCGACCTTTGACTTGTTGTGACGCTTTTGCCAAATAGTATATTCACGCGCTAAATTGCATTGACTATTCCTCTACAATGGCGCAGATTCGTTGAGCAGAGGACAGAAAACAGGGTCACGACGCGGCAACACGACATGTGACCATGCTGCAACGAATAGAACAACACTTGCACAAAGGCACTAGCGTGTCGAGAGTACGTGGAGACCGTGCGGTTTCTTTTCGCACATAATCGAGACACTAGCGGATCGGTTTTAAGATGTTGTGGCAGCGATCGCATGTGTATGTACCTAAAGGTGGAACATTATCTGACAAAGACTTGGGTTGGCAGGAATGCATCCGTCTACGACAGTCACGTTCGACATTCACGGGATCACAAATAGTTTTGGGTTTCTCGTTGCGCAACATGCAAGCAATCGCAAAGAGGGAGCATGAAACGCAGTGATAACTATTAATAGTGCCAGACTATAAGAAGTGCGTCGAGTTGGTAAATCGAGAACTAGAGAGTCCCCACCTTCCGCTGGAAAAAGCCACCACCAGCTCCCAGGTCTCTCGTTTAATATACTGGTTTAACGTAACGGGGTGGCCTGTTACATGAAATTGACACCAAACAGGGTCGATAGAAACATTGTCTAGCATGACAATCTCCTGCCAATATTATCTGAGATAGGCAATATTGTAGGAATAATATCCCCTTTAGATAATATTCATTGGCTGCTCCAAGATTGGTTGATATTAGACATATCAACCATAGATTGCCACCAATCGCTGCTAGACGCGCGCAATGAGTGGTGAGCAGGTTGTCGTCATACGACGACGTAGTTTAAAATAGTTAAATAAAGACTGAAGTTATATTGATAGCTTAACTATATTAAATACAGTTATCTTTTTACCTTTACTTGAACGAGTCGTTCAAGTAGATTATCTCCATCTGCACGTACTAGTGTACGTACAGATTCGTGGACCCAGACAAAGGGTGCCCCGTTACACCTGGTAGCACTTTGTAGTCCATCCAACGACTACTTAGTGTCCGTCCAACATGAACACGTTGGACGTAGAAGGCGACAGCTTTCACGTCACAAGAAAAGACCAACTCCCACCTGATTGACTCAGAATGGAAGGTAGTCGGTCGCATGAGTGTTTTCATGGCAGAACCCGCCATGAGTGGTATGTTGGAGTCTCTAAGCAGAGACCAGCAACATGCTGCTATTAACAAGTTCCTACAAGAGGAACTTGCCGTCGAACGACAGATGATAGCCTTGCTACAGCAGCAAGGCTATCATCAGTCGATGGACGCACATGCGTCGACCCAAAATCTTGAAGATTGATATCTCAAGGCAAAAAGGAATCGATGAAGATTCTCTTTTGAGATGGTTCCTCGAGTTAGACGATGCCATCAGGGCCCGTTACATCGAGGGTGACGAGATGCAAGTCACCTTAGCCCTGTAAAATTTGACAGGACGAGCAAACTCTTGGGCCTTATGGCTCAAGCTTCACGACCCAATCGTGTTTGAATCGTTTGAGATCTTGAAGTCTCAACCCAAAGAGACGTTTGAGCCGCCGAGAGCCGAGCTCAGAGCACGCTCTGCACTCTTAAGGCTAAAGCAAGGTAAGCGTGGTGTGCACGCTTACGCACAACACCTACGCTACCTTGCGAGTAGCGTTACAGAGAACCCTGTTGACTAGCACACGCTCATCAACGTGTTCATCTACGGCCTTGTAGTTGGGTCGGTGAAGACCTACAAGTTCCGAGAGGACTTCCATACGCTGGAAAGGGCGATAGCGTATGCGGAACAGGAGAACTTCAGCCTATGACAGTCTCAGGCAAACCCATCTAACTGTCGTTCAACATAACGACAGGAATCCGGAGGTTTCAAACCAATGGATCTCTTTGTATCGATACCGAGAACTATCGCTTTCTGAGTCACAAGCGAACGGCAAGATGCTATCGCTGCCAGAAGATTGGACACTAAGCTCATGAGCATAGTGTCCCGAGCACCGCAACACGTCCAAAGACAGGACGTGATGACCGCCGTTGGCCAAGGAAGGGTCCAAGGCGCGGGTCCGACCCTGGTGCTAAGCTGCGACAGCAAGTGGGACCGCCAAAAAACGGTCAGGGTTTGCAGGGTTGGATTACCCTATTGATTTAGCAACGTCAAGAGAATTTGCAAGACTCTTGACGAAGATTGCTCCAACACACAGTCGCTGTGTGTTACTGCCCTTAGTGATGATGTGGCACTCATCACTTTGAAGATCGAAGTAACAAGTGGAATGTCACTTTGCGCCCTAGTTGACTATGGTGCGTCGAACATTTTTAGTCGACGCCAGTCGCTATAGGATAGCAGTCTCAGCTATGTTGATCGAGCGTTCTCTCCGACGCGGATGACGGTGTGCCTTGCTACAGACGCATCCGTAACAGTGAACAAACGTGTAGTGGCAATCCACTACACGCTAGAAGGAAAACAACACGATGATGAATTCATCGTACTGGATTCGGATGACAAAATCGATGTCATCCTTGGTCTACCATAACTTCGAACACACCAGCCATGGATAGTTGGTAGCATTGATCCGTGAAGCTGCCTGCCGTTCGTTCATCGTATGGCCATCTGACGAACGTCTTGGAGCGTGTGATGGCCTCACTTATGGTACGGTCGTTATTGCGACTGCACCAAATCACAGTGTAGAAGACCACTGCACTGTGGGATCATCTTCCGGCACCTGTGTAGAGACACAGGCTACGCCGAAGGTTCACCACTCGAAAAGATGTAGTGGATTGGAACACGGATGCACACCAAGCAGGGTACATCCAAGAGGAGATGTTAGAGTTGTTCTGAAATGGTTCATTTTAAACAACACATTAAAGCTAAATCGACTGACAGAAAGCCAATGTCAAAGCAAACACAATCAACAGAAAGATATTCCTGAGAGTGACACTCCCGAGAGAGTTATGTTGAGCGTGTGGATCCCCAACAACCTACGATTTTTCCCCCACGAAAGCACCAAGACAGTGAATATCTTGGTGAATGACGGATCAAGTGTAGGCGCTTATGCTTTTTGATCTTACGACACCTCCGAAGTCAGCTTCGGAGGTAAT